TAATCGTCAGATGCTGTTTAACAGTGTGATTGATATACGGTAAATTACTACTTCTAAAGAAGTTCTTTTTTTCAATCGATGAAGTGAATTTACTTCTTTTTGGAGATATTCATAATATCTCAAATTAGAAAAAGAAAGTAACTTGCATTTAAACGAGTTGTGCTGGCGTCTTTATGCTCACCCTCTGGTAATGCTTCGTTCCAAATTTGACAGTTCAAATAAGCTTCATTATCCTCTGCATTTACTCGCCACCTACAATTAAATTCTTGTCCATCAAATCTAACGCGACGATTTGAAGGTCGTCAAAATAGAGAAATATTCAATTGAATTATAAAAATCATGAACAATTATAAAAAGTACGACTCACTGAAGAATGGATACAGATGGTCGATCGGATGAAATAGACGATCTTACGTGGTACCATTCTTCGGGTACCACAGATCGATTACTGAAAACCCATACAAATGAAGGCGGTGGATTACCACCCGTTGTTTGGCATTCAATTGTTACCAGTTCACCTTCCTCAACTGCTCCAGATGGCTGCCGAGTGATTACCGGCTTTTCCGGCTCCACTAAAAAAATTTTAAGATAAATTGACTCAATGAAATCATCTGAAACCATCATCTTTTAGATACTAAACTTATGTTGTGTATTAACTAGCTAATTGGTGTATAAGTTAACAATTGATAATTAAGAATTCTTAAATATTTACCCAGTGACTAAACTAAGCAAATAAAACTTTAACAATTGCTTAACTGACGTCCCGTGTGAAATTTATTTCTGTTTGACAAATAAGTATAGTTAATCTTTTTACTACTATCATGTGCTAAGGGTCATACGGCATCTTTGTCAGAAAAAGGAAAGCTTGACCTTATTAAAGAGAATAGATTTGGACTATCTCTCCAGATGTTCTTTTCAAAAAAGTATAACGATTCGGTGCTATCTGCGCTGGCGAAATTTCAACAATAAACACCTGTCTTACCTCAGTCATAATATATGTCTTCTATTGTTTCCTACGATAACTATAGCCTTAAAATGTTTATTATTCCTGCAGAGCTCCTTTGTCCTTTAAAATAAAGGAGCAACTGTACAGAAAGCTAAAACGTACTCGAGAATACAAATATCCGGAAAAGACAATACGTATTACCTAAATAACTTCTGGAATAAATGATACTTGTTGAGATGCATAAAATTTATAGTTCATGTTCCAAAATGTCCAAGGAAACAATTTTTTTTTCTTTTCAGAAGATAAATTTAGCATCTCATTTTTTTCCTATATTAATAAAATATTTTTTAATTTGTTTTTCATAACTAAAAAACATGAAAAATTAGTTTTTAATCGGCCGTTTAAAATCTTCTTTAAATTGGACGAATTAAAGAAACCAATCCTCCTACTTTCTCTTTTTCAAAACTCATCTTCTAATAATGCTAAGTCCATGATTGGCATAGAGCATATTCTAGTGTATATTTTAGTGTGTTCTAATATTCCATTTTAGGGCAATCCATGAAAAATTCCTTTTATCCTTCCTTGCCTAACAACCGAAGACGATTGATTATTTACGGAAAATCAACCTCTTTCCAGCATCTCGCTTCCCCATATAATTATCGACATTATGAGCACACCTGTTTTTATATTAAATGGAACGCGCTCAAATGATGGTATTTGAAAAGATACATGACATAGATATAGAAAGGTGACAACTTTTAAGAACTCCATTACCATTTTCAAAAAGAAACGAGGATAAAGAGAAAGATTACAATAATAGGCATTGGTAGTAAACAATTTCATTCCTTCATTATTATTAATTTCTTATTTCGTTATCCAAAATTATATGTTTCATAAATTTTCACTTGTCTATATAACATACCTCACTAGTGTGTAAGCAAATTGGTTGTAAAAGTTGTGGTGAGAGTAGCAATACTTGAATAATGATCCCTAATATATCTTCCTTATCTGGCATAAAAAATCTTTGTTTCCCCATCTGATACCACAATAAAAATTCCTCGAGAACTATCCTATAGTATCAGAGTTAATCTGATACTTATTTATTGAATTGTACAAAATTTAGGAAAGATCAAATACAAGCGAAATATAAATTTTTGGATTTTTCCAATTATTGATATATGAAGAATATGTAAAATTTGACGAAATCTTTTTAAGTCAAAATGATAATAAAATGGTCTGATTTGATGGGTCCCCGTTAAAATGAAATAAACAAAATATGAAAAGAACTTTTCATCAATGGGTGGCTTTATGTTGACAAAATGGATATACGGTGGGTAATTTGGATGACCGATGTTCTTGCGAGCCGCGCCATTAGCAAACAAACATTGCGGCTCGACATTCGTCTTTGAGAGGTTGTAAATACAGTGACCTCTACTGACTACATGCTTATTTGCGATTGACTTTTGAAGTTTCGTTATAATTAAATTTTACGTTTTAATCTTAATTCCTCCAAAATTATGCTTCCTTATGGTCATCACTATGAAATCAATATAACTGATGAAAATTTTCCAGTGAAAAATCACATTTGACATAATTTTTATCTTCTTCTATATTCAAAAAATAATTTTAGATATTCCAACAACTTAAAGATTCAATTTGAAGGTAAGAGGACATATTATTACTTCTTCCACTTACAAGTAGCCAGTAACTTACTATTTAGCAAGTTATTTCAAAGTTACTTCGAAATTATTTCCAATTGAAAGAATTATTACGTACATAATTGAACAATCAGTGTTGAACATTTCAAAATCGGTACTTTCACAGTTCAATTTCATATTATTTCCATTTCTTTTTTCCTCTTACTTGAAGGGCATATACGTTTTCATTTAAAAGTTCCATGAAATTTTAAAGTTCCGAAGCAAAAATATTTACCAAAAGCTATCAGTTGCAATTATTTCTCTTCAGCAATATTGAGTTTCTCATTTTTATGGCGTAACAAAATACTTCTTTGGTTCGCTCCTCAAAAGGCCTTCGACATATCACAAATAGAAGTAAATATGAACTTCAAAGATAAATTTTAATTCTTCATCTCCAAAGGTGCTCCAGTTTCATATATACAAACATCTTATACTGCAACCTACAATCTATCTAGAGAATAAATAATGATAAAACCAACTTACTATTAAATATTCTGACTCAAATACCGATTAGATCTATTTACTTGAATTTTTATTGCGTCAGTAAATTTCATCTTATTATTATGTTGTAGTATTAACAAATTTACGAGCACATTTCGAAATATTTTGTTATCTAATCTTTTGACAAAAAAGGGCACTGAACAAAAAGTGAATGATGATAATCAAGATTGTTATCTGATACAATTCTCTTCTGCAAACGAGATTTCTATCTTTTTGGTGCTGCATGGAAATGACACAAAAAAGCCGAACCACTTTTGTTAAATGATTTATGAATCAAGAATTCTTTACTTCACTATCTGATTCATTTTTCCGGAAAAATTATGGGCGAAAGAAAATTTTTCATCATTTGAAATATATATATATATTTCAAATGATGA